GCCGGGTCTACCTATAAAACCGGAAATAGAAAGTGAAAAGAGAATCTCGATCTGAACTCAGAGAAACATTAAACACTATAAAATGACGAGACGTATGTATATAACGGTAGATTGCTGAGGTCAAAATAAGGCGATTATACTGTAACAGTTTTTAAAATCTCATCTTTTGTCCCAAAAGTTAACTGATTTATATAAAAATACATTTACTTCAATTTGCAACTTGACTGATATAATAGTTTTCGAAATATAGTAAAAATTATTTATTTTTACTTTGATATCCAATTGACTGAAAAAAGGAACATACACTTTGGCTCAACCGTACTATTTTAACCTAAGATATTTACCATTAAACTGCGACGCTTTCATAATGAAGCAGCCTATATTCGAAATAATGAAATAATTCTAAATATACCAAACCCACCGTAAATCTGACTATTTCCAAATACAGACCGGTCCTTTTGAGATTGTCCAGAAAAGATTCCAATTTTACTAATGCCTCATCTCTCAGTTGAGTAGTTTTATACACCAACACGAAATCTATAGTTTTATTACCGTCGGAAAAATATAACGTTGAATGCGATTCCATGTTACGTTTATTATCATCAATGACAGTTTATACTCAACGTCAGTATAATCCTTTGAGTATATGCTACTGAAAATCGCCTCCCAATGGTCGGTCGCATTACATCAAGAAAGAAATATCTGCGCTGCTACGAAGGTACATGTCATCTCTCTCTCGCCGAACGTGATCGGCTCACGACTGATCCCACGTGACAGGAACAGCCAATCACATTCGGCGAGAGAGAGAGATACCATTTACCTTCATATCAGCTATCTCTCTCTTCGCCTTATAACGCACCAAACCGTTGGGAGGCTTATCTCCAGAGTATATGCTCTAAGGTATAATCAGTTATAATATCACAAGAGCATAGAAAATATTCGATTATACTTCCGAGTCACGAGACGTATTCTGCGAAACACCACGATAACGTAGCTGGAGTGGTGTTTTAAGGAAATACGTCGAGTGAGGAGGTTAGTATAATCGAATATTTTCGTTTGCTCGAGTGGTATTCGATACGATTATATAATTCAGAGCTTGAACCGAAGCGTTCCATTTTTTTTTTGACGTTTATTGACAAATGTTAAAACTATCGTTACCATGACATAGTTCACATTGTTGGAGGAGGCGAAACACCAAAATGGTTATACCACGTCGTCAAGAGTATAATCGCTTATCAATACATAGTAACTACGTAAAATTTGTAATTGCTATTGGCTAAATTTCTAATGAATTATATAATCAATCAAATACAGAGGGTAGTCCTTTCCCCATTTGTTTTATATATCTTTTTCATTTCACAGTTAAGAAAAAAGTTCCATTAACATTATGTCCGAAGCGGAAAAAAATACCGATAACAAACAGAGCGTTAAATTTTAGAAAGCAATATATTTTAACCTATTACCTATATACTACAGGAATATGACGATTATGGAACAAATACTCGAGAGGTGCGTGCATGGACCTGGGTGCGTTCTTCATTTACTGTAGGTCACTAATCAGTTTTAAATATTTGTGTAATATAGCCATTATACGCGAGGCAAATACTATACTTTATCTACGACTACTCACTCATCATATTGTTTAAAAATAATAATAATTTGTAGATTGGGAAACATTTATTTAAAATTAGAAATTTTTATAATGAATTATTTAAAATTAGCGTATGATTGGATTGCTGTTACTAGGGCAACTAAAGTTTATTTATTTATAAAATTAATTGTAAGGTTATGACAATTATTAAAATGTATGGTTGGAGGTGTTTTCGTAGTATTAATATTTACATCACTGGTCTTATTGGTAATGGCAAAATTATCAATAGTAAAATTGCTGACACCATCAGCATATGTAGATGGACATGAATTTGCATTCGAAATACTGATAGAATTTGGATTGATTTGGTGCAAAATTTTATTGGCGGCATCCATTTTATTTTTTTTAGAGTCAGCAATATAACCTTCAGCCACAGAGGCTGACTTCCATCCCCCATGGCGTTTAAGGGCAGTCATATTGGCCCCTCCATCAGCATACAAAGTGGCAGAAGATCGTCGAAGGCAATGTCCTGTGTATTTTACTGGATCCGGTAGTTTCAAAAATTCTGCTATTTCTTTACCCATTCTTCCAAATTTATTTATACCAATAACTTGTTTTGTGCATTTCCCATTTTGAAAATTTAGGAAGAAAGAACTTGATACANACGAACTGGTCGGTTATACGTCAAATACTAACCTGGCGAGCTTTGCTGTCAATTAGAGAGCGCTTCCAAAAAACAAGTAAACAACAGTGGCGCGTACAGAGGTAAAATGTAGTACATATGTGGAATTTAGGAAACAAATTGGATTTATAATAAATTACATTTAAAATAAATAGTTTATGAGAATAAAGGAATTTTTGTAGGAACAAGGGTGCCAGACCTGAACTGATCCCCTCGTCCCTTCATAATGTATAAAGAAATTATTCAATTTGTAAAACCCTTAAAAGTGTACTTCATTGGTTCCCTTGACAGGCAATGATTTATTACTTTGCATCGAATACGATCCTACTATAGTAACTACGTAAAATTTGTAATTGCTATTGGCTAAATTTCTAATGAATTATATAATCAATCAAATACAGAGGGTAGTCCTTTGAGTACTTTCCTCATTTGTTTTATATATCTTTTTCATTTCAATGTTAAGAAAAAAGTTCCATTAACATTATGTCCGAAGCGGAAAAAAATACCGATAACAAACAGAGCGTTAAATTTTAGAAAGCAATATATTTTAACCTATTACCTATATACTACAGGAATATGACGATTATGGAACAAATACTCGAGAGGTGCGTGCATGGACCTGGGTGCGTACTTCATTTACTGTAGGTTACTAATCAGTTTTAAATATTTTGATAGATTAGCAATTTTATCTATACCATACTCGGAGCAAGCTTTTTTCCAAAAGAATTTCTGTTCTAAATTTTCGATTTTTTAATTAACTTTAAATATTTCTTTCAAGTATTGAAAAAAATCTGTGGTGCGTGATGTTTCTCTAAATAAATACCTACGCAATTAAATACCATCTACGCCAGTGGCGATATAAAAAAAATATTTGGTTGATCAGAAATGAGGTTCTCTGGGAACAACTATATAGTATACCAAATTTCACTAAATCCTATTTTTTCTCTAAAAGTTAACAGCCTATAACTCTGGTCATAAGGACTTTTCAACCACTTCCTTTATTACGTACAATATTTAAGGATTACCCTATATATGATTATAATCTTAAATCACATCAATTGCAAATTATTATAATTTAGACGGTTAGGTGTGGTTACAATTTTGTTTGATAATTTCCGGGACACACGCGGTATACATTTTTTTATTTTATTGCAAGTACGTGGATCTAGGCAATTTTAAGATAAAGAAAAACTGTTAAGTGGAGAAATTATTAAACAATTAGCTAATAGCTATTAAGACATTTTGGAAAAAAAATTAAAAAAGAATTTAGGTTTTTTTCTCAAAAACATCTGAAATATAAATTGCTTCAGCTGATCTGCCGAATGTGTAAAATTTTTATGTCAGTTTAGTATCCGTAATGGTATCCGAGATCAGGTACAGGGTGATTCACTATATTTTGAAAAATGTGAAATACAAAAGTTGCACGAGTTTTTATGAATTTTTCAAAATCATAGAAAAACAAATGAAGTCCAAACAAAATGACCGCAGATGTTAACTTTGTTAAGTTAAATGGAACACCCTGTATATTTTTATATATTTGGATAGTGTAAGGTTTGTTGGGTTCATCTCTAATAATAAGCGAGAAACTATTAAAAATGAAAAGAATGTATTTTATTAATAAAATAAGACATACTGTAATTGTTAAACCTTTTTCAGGCATTTCTGCCTTTTTCCAATTACGTAAGGATTTACAGATTTAGTTATAATATATTCTGGCAGATCGGACATTGATATGGTCCAAAAATGCGTATATGTATTTTAACTAAATCTCACTAATTAGGTCGTCAAAGGCCTAATTACTCATGGACAATGTTATAGTAGCCTGTGACAGTGACAGGTAATCATAACAACATTGTTATTGTTTGACAGTTTGTATTATTATTTAATTAAAATGGGTTACACAGAAATAGAAAATTGAAATAATATAGGAATATTATAATAGAGCAAAATTCTTCTCCATACTCTATTTTAATTCTAAATAATTTTCTACTTCTGTGTAACCTATTTTAATTAAATAATAATACAAACTGTCAATCAATAACAATGTTGTCAAGACATTACTACCTGTCACTGTCACGACCTACCATATAATGTCCATGAGTAATTAGACCTCTCACGGACTATAATTAGTGAGATTTACATTACCTATAGGTACGCATTCTGGACCGCATCAATGTCCGATATATCAAAATATAACTACATCTGTAATTCCTTATGTAATTGGCCTGAAAGAGGTCTAACAATTACAAGATGCATTATTTCCTTAATAAAAAACCTTCTTTTCGTTTTTTAATAGTATCTTGCTTATTGTTAGAGATGGACCCAACAAACCCTATATGACTATGCTCGAGAGGGAACATTCTTTCCAAATATGTAAAAATATACAGGGTGTTCCATTTAACTTAACAGAGTTAACATCCGCGGCCATTTTGTTTGGATTTCATTCGTTTTTCTACTATCATTTTCGAAAAATTCATAAAAAATCATGCAACTTTTATATATCACATTTTTTTATAACTCTTAAAACAAAAAAATTAAAGGGGGGTTGATAGCTTCAATTTGACTTTTTTGTTTAAAAAAAAGTTATCTGGTTCAATTATGACAATATATTTATTTATTAATTTATTAGAGAGTAAAAAATAAGGAAGATAAGAGTGAATAGTGGTATAAAAAAATTTAATTAATTTGATACAATGAAAAATATTTATTACAAAATACATGGTAACAATTTTCCTAGAACCTACTTAAAGTAATCATTACTTTTTAACACATAAATGTTAAAAATTTAGATTTTTTTCAGAAATAAAATAATGTAAAAATTTAACGCATAACGATAACTCAAATGCTCTCAGAAGGCAACGTCGTTATCAATTTCAGAAATTTCTAAAATCGACCGCTGTATCATCCTTTTCAGTCGGTTCTGATTCTCTCTCGATCGCAAATTTCGTAGTTCGGACGCCACGAAATCACCGAAAACTTGGAACTCATCTGTTATTTTATCGCCCACCTGCAATGGGTTTCTAATTAGGCAACTCGGTTCCTTTTCTTCTATGTTGATTTGACTTCTTTTTAATTCCACAAATTCTGGCCTTATGTATATATCAGTTATATCTGCATTGTCAGATTCATCGGTTCCATTTTCAGTCTTTGCTTCCTCGCCCTAAAAGTATACAATATTTGAAATTTTTTGGGAAATATACCTACCTAGTGCGTATTAATTTAATTTTATTAAAAGAAGTAAACCAGGAAAATAAATAATTAGCGAATATAAAAAATTATATACCACAACCGATTCTATTATATAAGCGAGGACATCCTGTATAATAAAAAAAGCGATTTAATTAAAGTACGTAGAAAAAATTATACATACCAAGTTTTTTACAGATCTTGGAATGGAATGATCCATGATAAAAGTCATGGCATCAAAATATTTCCAAGAAGTTCTATAAGTGTCTTCTGTTGTATCTCCATTTCTTCTGGCTTTTATCCTCCTCATTTCTTGGTGAAATTGGGTCCTCAAGTTATGAAACTTGCGATAAATCTCTTTCTCAGGTGTTCTCAGCTCGGCAGCAATGGCCCTTAACGCAGCCTGTTTTTTCGTCTTATTTCGATATTCTTTATTTTTTACGTCCCACAGTTCGGGGTGTAATTTCCAAAGATGAATTAAAGAAAAAACTTCCTGTTTGCTCCACGTCTTATTATTTTCGTTCATTTCGCCAATATTTAAGGAATGTCGCAAAAAGTGTCACGTCTTTGTGTGTTATGAAAATGTGATTAGCGTTACACTAAAAAGTATGCACTGTGGGACTTGCTTGAAATCTGAGACAATATTTATTTATTTTTTCAACTTGCCAAAGACACTCTCGAAGATATATTTAGATAAACATTTACATACTATAGAGTGCAGACATCAACTGTCAACTGTCGCAATAAATTATGATGTCGCAAGTTGATCCCTACAGTCGTTAATTTTCCTAATATTGGTACGCTTGTATTTTTTGTACGGGTATAAAATACTATTGTTCAAGGGAAATATGTGTCTAAATAGTGGCAGATTAGAGCTGATTTAATTATTTCAACATTTAAACAATATGCGATCATTATAAGTTTCATTAACCAATTGAATATTGCGTTCAATAAAAATCTTGATAACATTATTAAAAGTCCTATTTTATATTCCCGTAATACAATACCTGACATTGGCTTTGGGATAATGAGATTAGGTATCCTTAAAAAAACAAACCGAAGTCATAGGGAAGGAGAAAATAGTTTTTCCTTTAGTTAATTTTAATCTTTATCATTATGGTTGGCAACAGTAAATCACAGTATATGTTTGTATAGTAGTTTAACTCATTTGCACTATTTCGAATTATATTAAATAATAGCCAACCGCCTTATCGAATTTTTAAAATTAACCAATCGCAATGTCTAGTTTCAAATCATGGTCACGAAATAAAAGCAACACATTGAATTTATTTCATAAAAAATTAATCCAACCGAAATTTTATTGAATTCGGCAGAAAATTAAAGTTATTAAAATTAATTTAATATTTAAGAGCGTAATTAGTAGGTTTGATTTATTTATTTAAATCTGGAAATATCTGGGGCTTAAAATTTTTATGCTTGACATCAGAATCGGTTTTTTTCATATTCTACCTAATTGGGCAGGTAACAAATGATCATCAGGTCAGTTAAATAAAATGCAGCTATTTTTCAACCATTAGTATGTGGTTGCCTATATCTCTGGTGGTTGATCTATGCAATTAACTTCATTCATATTGTATAACCAATCCCAAGATCAGAGAAAGATCTTGAACCACTCCAACAAATAAAAAATGAAAAAAATAAAGGGTGACAGCTGACTGAGCTGCACATACTTCTATACATATACCAAGCACTGCATATCTTTTCCTTTTCCATTGAATGACCTTGTTCCCAAAAAGAGGGGATAAAAAGTGTACATGTTGCACTTTGTCAATTTTGCGCAAGCTCGAAAATTTAGCGGATTATTTCAAATGAAATTTAATAAGTGATGTACTATTAATTAACAGAGCAAAATTATCAATTGTTATTTTGTATATATAATTATACAACTTGTTAACTGTTATTTATGAAAATATTATATAGTGAATGTAAAATAAAATGGGTACAATAAAACGTAATCCAGAAGAGAATAAAAGTGGTTTTTTTATATAAAATAGCAAACATTTTTTGAAATTTAAAATCAATACATCTTCACAAAAATTCATATAAAAATACACATTATGTACAAATATACATACATAAAAATGAAAACAAGTTATCTACCTTAACTTACCCTAACTTATATATAAATAATAATAAAAATAAATCATATCAATCATATTAACCTAAGTGTTTCGTGATCCAAGGTACTTACCAGACTCAATTTGATTTTTTAACGTATGCTAAATATCAAGTCTTATTTTATTAAATATACAATGCAAAGCTAGTCAAGATCTTAGAACACATTGAAGCAGTGCCGGTTTTATTCTTGTGACATTTACAAAAAATATATAAAGGGAAACAACTCGACTCTTTTTAGTATATAACAGTAAGAGTTCACCATGAAACTTCTAAGGTTGTCAATGTATCTATTAGATTTTGTAATAAACATGAAGTCTCATGCATTAGCGATATGTGGAATTTCTAGCTACTGATTGGACACGTAAAAATTTGCTTCAGCCAATTTCATCAATACATTACCCTTAATTAATAAAAAGCCTTAATCAATAAAACCTTAAGTTTCCATAGGGTGTAAAGATATACATTTTTACTTATAAACAAATTTTGTCTTTTTTATTTTTTGCTAGAATCATCGCTTCATACCAGCTTGTTCCTCTTTTCTTTAAGTCTTCTGCCAAGTGCCACTACTTGGTCCCATGTTTTTTATGGGTGTGCCTCGTTTCCTCTTTCCATTTTTTTTTGTTTCCCAAATCATTTTCGGCTGTCTTTCTGTTCATAACCTACCTTCGGAAATGTCAATGAGTAATGACGTTAATCGACAAACCGACCAATGGGAAAATTATCACATAGCGCGTGCGTATAACACTCAAAGTGCAACACCCCCACTTTTAGGCTTCAATTCCCTTTCAAAATGCCAGAACGTAAACAAAAATGGTAGATCCGTTGAGTTTACTCCGTAAATACAATGTCAATAAAAAAGAAATTATCAAACGAGATGGACAGATTATAANTATTTTATATTCCCGTAATACAATACCTGACAATACAAACCGAAGTCATAGGGAAGGAGAAAATTGTTTTTCCTTTAGTTAATTTTAATCTTTATCATTATGGTTGGCAACAGTAAATCACAGTATATGTTTGTATAGTAGTTTAACTCATTTGCACTATTTCGAATTATATTAAATAATAGCCAACCGCCTTATCGAATTTTTAAAATTAACCAATCGCAATGTCTAGTTTCAAATCATGGTCACGAAATAAAAGCAAAATATTGAATTTATTTCATAAAAAATTAATCCAACGAATTCGGCAGAAAATTAAAGTTATTAAAATTAATTTAATATTTAAGAGCGTAATTAGTAGGTTTGATTTATTTATTTAAATCTGGAAATATCTGCAGCTTAAAATTTTTATGCTTGACATCAGAATCGGTTTTTTCACATTCTACCTAATTGGGCAGGTAACAAATGATTATCAGGTCAGTTAAATAAAATGCAGCTATTTTCCAACCATTAGTATGTGCATGGAGACTACACTATCTAATCTCCCTGAGTATGTGGTTGCCTTGTTGCCTATATCTTTGGTGGTTGCTCTCAAAGAAAATCCTTGGGTTGCTCTGTGCAATTTAACTTCATTCATATTGTATAACTAATCCCAAGATCAGATAAAGATCTTGAACCAATCCAACAAATAAAAAATCAAAAAAATAGAGGGTGACAGCTGACTGAGCTGACCAGAGCTGACAGAACGTAAACAAAAATGGTAGATCCGTTGAGTTTACTCCGTAAATACAATGTCAATAAAAAAGAAATTATCAAACGAGATGGACAGATTATAATTGGTGAATTTTCGTGGCCCAAAAATGTTAAGACTAACTACATTATTTGGGGGTATGTGTTAAATGAGGTAAGAAAAACGTATATATGAAACAACCTAACCTTAAATTTGCAGTTCTGGCAGATGAAACCCCAAAAGAATATTATACGCTGGAATGTTTGCTTTTTATATTAAAAAACGTATCTCTCGTTCATCCGGTGTATGTGAGACGGGCGCATGCGGAGAATATACCAGTAGTGAGAAGGCCAGATCGTAAAGAGTTGCTAGCATATTTAAATGGAGAAATACCAAGTTGCCCTTCTATCAATAAGAGTGCACCTTTGGAAATACCTACACAGGTTTGTTCTTGTACTAGTTTTAAATAAAGATCTAAATTATAAAAGATTTGTAGGTCAAAAAATCTGCTGATTACGATGGGCCTGTAAGTATGGCTAAGAAGCCTCGCTTTGAGGATACACATGTGCAGATGTGTGAGAAACTGGCTGCGAGGTTAGATGCACCTAAAGAAGCTTCCGTAACAGTAGATAATGTTAAGTATGTAATCCCATCTTTAAAATAATTATTTGCTAATACATTATTTTTAGGACACTCTCAAAAAATTGCTGCTATTAAAGCAAAACGTTTAGCCACAAAGCGAACCACTATTAAGGGAAACAATGATATTGGGCAAGAGTATGATTTTAGAGCCATGTTAGACTTGGATTCTGACATTACAAAGAATATTATAAGTTGTGAGAGGCAATGGGGAACGAGTACAAGAATTTTACAGTCAACGGGTAATTACTAAATATTCAGGAGAAATATGTCTAAATAGTGGCAGACTAGAGCTAATTTAACTATTTCAACATGTGATTGTTATAAGTTTCATTAATTAACTGAAATATGTGCAGAATATTACGTCTAATAAAAATCTTGATAACACTGAAAAGTCTTATAGCTGTTTTACATTGACAATTTATTCATGAATAAATTGACGAAGTTCCTTATGAATTAATTCACGAATTTATAGGTAAACAGTGTGGTTTTACGCTGCTACAGATTTATCAAGTTTTTTGACCCATGAATCAGTTCTACCATCGAATCGAAGAAGCAAATAAATTTCAAAAATGTCACCTTTCCACTCTTAATTGTAGTGATACAACAGCGGTACCATTTTGACACGTATTATATAAATATTTATTTTTGTAAGTAACAAATCAGTAAAAACTAGTACGACGCCACACAATTATTTGCATATTCCAATAACATAAACCTCATTAATGATCTGAGCACTCAGCTCAACAGTGAACTCTTATAGGTATCTAGTACAAAGTTCACTGGATCTGAGGCTGGAAATCTGTTGGGTAGGTACTTCTGAACTTCACGAGGAAACTGGGAAATTGACAAAAATTAGAACATGCTGTAATCCGTCAAGAACTTGATTGTGTAGTCTCCATGAACTTGATCATGAACACTGACGCTACACAAACTTGACGAACAAATTCATGAAGTTATTTGACAGCAGATCAATTTGGTGCATGACACTTGTCCAATTTCTTGATCAAGCGAATCGTGAATTCATGAATTAATTCATCAATAAATTGTCAACGTAAAACAACTATTAGTTTATATTCCCTTAATACAATGCCTGACATTGGTTTCGGCATAATGAGATTGTAATTAAAAAAACAAACTGAAATCGTAGGAAAGGAGAAAATAGTTTTTCCTTTCATTTAATTATTGCTTTCAATTTTCATCATTATGGTTGGCAACAGTAAATCAGAGTATATGTACAGTAGTTTAACCACATACTTCTATCCTATACTGATCATTTTGCAATTGACTTGAAGCCGAAAAGTGGGGCGACGTACCAGCGTATTCATACGCATGCGTTTACTTTACGGGTTTTGATTGGTTGAAAGCAACCAAGAACGGTGAGCACCAAGCGCCGAGCGGTAAAAAAGCCAAACCAAGCTANCGCGTGCGTATAACACTCAAAGTGCAACACCCCCACTTTTAGGCTTCAATTCCCTTTCAAAATGCCAGAACGTAAACAAAAATGGTAGATCCGTTGAGTTTACTCCGTAAATACAATGTCAATAAAAAAGAAATTATCAAACGAGATGGACAGATTATAATTGGTGAATTTTCGTGGCCCAAAAATGTTAAGACTAACTACATTATTTGGGGGTATGTGTTAAATGAGGTAAGAAAAACGTATATATGAAACAACCTAACCTTAAATTTGCAGTTCTGGCAAAGATGAAACCCCAAAAGAATATTATACGCTGGAATGTTTGCTTTTTATATTAAAAAACGTATCTCTCGTTCATCCGGTGTATGTGAGACGGGCGCATGCGGAGAATATACCAGTAGTGAGAAGGCCGGATCGTAAAGAGTTGCTAGCATATTTAAATGGAGAAATAACAAGTTGCCCTTCTATCAATAAGAGTGCACCTTTTGAAATACCTACACAGGTTTGTTCTTGTACTAGTTTTAAATAAAGATCTAAATTATAAAAGATTTGTAGGTCAAAAAATCTGCTGATTACGATGGACCTGAAAGTATGGCTAAGAAGCCTCGCTTTGAGGATACACATGTGCAGATGTGTGAGAAACTGGCTGTGAGGTTAGATGCACCTAAAGAAGCTTCCGTAACAGTAGATAATGTTAATTATGTAATCCCATCTTTAAAATAATTATTCGCTTAATATATTATTTTTAGGACGCTCTCAGAAGTTATGTCTGCTGAAAAAATTGCTGCTATTAAAGCAAAACGTTTAGCCACAAAGCGAACCACTATTAAGGGAAACAATGATATTGGGCAAGAGTATGATTTTAGAGCTATGTTAGACTTGGATTCTGACATTGCAAAGAATATTATAAGTTGTGAGAGGCAATGGGGAACGAGTACAAGAATTTTACAGTCAACGGATAATTACTAAATATTCAGGAGAAATATGTCTAAATAGTGGCAGACTAGAGCTGATTTAACTATTTCAACATGTGATTGTTATAAGTTTCATTAATTAACTAAATATGTGCAGAATACTACGTCTAATAAAAATCTTGATAACACTGAAAAGTCTTATAGCTGTTTTAGATGGAGACTAGATAAGAAGCTCGAACTCATATGGGAAAATTGACAAAATTTGTCCAAGAAATGGCAGAAGTTGGGGTGGCGCTAGTGTTCCATATGTCCCAAATGAATGTAGCAAAATAAATACGAGTGAAGTAAGCAAATAACAACCAATTTTATTTTATATTGAGTTTAGTAGATAATGTAGATATATCGGGCAGGTATATTAACCTAAAAACTAGAAGTCAAGTCAATAATTATTACAATTTGTTTTTATAATGGTAAATAAAAAGTTTCGAAAATAATTTAAATATGGTAATAGTATGTGAAGTGAATGACTGTCAACAGATTTAAAATAAAACAGTACGTTTGTGATCTGCATTTTCAATCTAATGATGTCCAAAAGTTTCGAAAATAATTTAAATATGGTAATAGTATGTGAAGTGAATGACTGTCAACAGATTTAAAATAAAACAGTACGTTTGTGATCTGCATTTTCAATCTAATGATGTCCAGCTAGCAGTTCTATATTACAACTTGACCGAATAGTGGGTTTATAGCAAAAGGTCGAATAATTCGGAAGTTGGAAGCAGCTTTCATTCTTAATAAGGTAGAGAAATTTTTAAATAGAAAGATTTTATAAGTGAAAATATTGTATAATTGAATGATGCATTGTTTCTTTATATATCTTGCAGCAGCATCAACTGCAAGAGCATCCACTACACCAACAACAACATATGCAGCTGCTACAACAAGAGCAAAAGTTACAACAACAACAATGAATATGTTCACATAATATTGACAATAGCAACAAAGTATACTTTATTTATTTCTACATATTTTTGTAATTTGTAATTTATATTACGTGCATAAATAATTAAATTCGTATCTTTCATATAATTCTTGCTGGTGATATCGTTATTATCATTACTGAATTGAATAAATCATTTCCAATTAGTTGCTGATTCTTTCCTGTTAGTAAAAAACTGATTGAAATTCAGATATCATATAAAATTTAAAGAGAGGATACGTGTAGTAATCGATGCTGATCGATCTGTATTGGTAATTGACTACTTTTACTAAATATTTGAACATGGAAATCAATTGCTTCATGAACAAAATGAAATTTTAAGAAGAAAAAGAAGATAAACTAACAAGTATTACTTATTTTTAAGAAGAGTTCCTGTTTTATTTGTAATACCTATATATTTACTTTGTTATGAATAAATATTTATTTTTATTTTAATTAGGTACAAATAATTTCGTTTTTTGATTCAATTAATAAAACATTGAAATCTTTGGTAAATAAACGTTTTATTTTTACAAAATTTATAACAAAAATATAGAACATTGCTAAAATATTTCTTTATAATACCTTATTAATTTTGGTCTATACTCTACCTTGGAATAAGTTATGGAACCATGTTACGTTCGAATTAAATCAACAATTTTACGAAAGTAGAATTAAATTTGACAGCAATTTTAAAATATATACCCAGAAAACTAATCGATTTTAAACAGTTATAACATATTTAGATTACCTATTTTTTATGACGTTTATGATGGAATATATTTTGTTAAAATTTTGATATCAATTGGTTGTCATGTTGTTTTAAGCTTCTTGACATTTTGAGAGACATATCATTCTGACCTTCAAAAGAAACAGTTCTAGATCTTTTCTGAAGAAGATAGCGTTATGACTCTCGAAGCATTGAGAAGCCTAAACCGACAACATGGCAATCAGCTTAGAAATTATCCAACCATAATTTATCGACTTTCCAGTCAGTTTTCAGTTACACTAATAGTATATCATTGGTTATTCAAAAAAATATGGATTGTGATATACTCTATCTTACATGAATTCGTTCCCTATCGTCTCTTTCATAATGCCGATTCTGATTATTTTGATTTGGAGGCACATATGGAGGTATATTAATATTTTTTTCAAGCACTTCCAAATCATCATGTAAGGTCCGATCAATTTTTGGGTAATTATTTACTTTAGTGGCACCACCTCCAATTTTCACAAAATTTTGTCTACCCCTCTATTTTCGATGGTGCTGAACACGAATCTGAAGTTTTTTTGTGCGGTCGAACCCAGTTTTTGAGAAAAAAAATTTTCAAAATTCTAACCTGAATATTTCAGATAACACTACGTAGAACTCTGTATATTTTATGTAGCTTTCAGAACATCTGTAATAAACAATGAACATTGTTTAAGAAACACATTTTCCCAAATTTGAACTAAAAAAAATATGTATTTAATAAATAAAATTATAGTAACTTTATGTGGGATTGTGGGATGAACAGAGTTGAATGAGAGTGGGGGAACTCAATGTCATCACGAATTACAAATGGCGGATTCAAATTACAAAATTTTTATTTATTAAATACATATCTTTTTACTTGAAATTTACGAAAATGTGTTTCGTGAACAGTGTTAATTGTTCATAACAGATGTTCTGGAAAGCTACATAAAATATACCGAGTTGTACGTAGTGTTATCTGAAATATCCAGGTTAGAATTTTGAAAAAAAATTTTTCTCGAAAACTAGGTTCGACCGCACAAAAAAAAAGAGATTCGTGTTCAGCACCATCGAAAATAGGGGGGTAGACAAAATTTTGTAAAAATTGGAGGTGGTGCCACTAAAGTAAATAATTATACCCTGCCTCATTATCTCGGCCATTCTATAATTTGTGGAGACAAGTTACTTAGCAAGTATGTAACTTTTCTGGTTGTTGTAGAGCTTAAGGCGATGCAAAATTTACCAGAATCATGGGTGAAATAATTAGAAGAAATGGCAAATTTTTCTTCAATTCTGTTAGCTACTTCCAACTTCCCTGATGCTAACACGGAAATGTTAAAAAAACTTGGCCACTATATTCAGGTACAGTAATTTCAAAGTAGTTCTTATTTTTTACTCATTCTGTTTCTTAGAGTAAATCTATTTCATCATCACTCAAGGTGGACAATGCATCTAATATCTGAATCACTGGACTCAAAATCGGACATCTGTAATATTTTAAAAAGTTTATTTAAAACACCGAGTTTTTTTATATCCTATTTTTTATTACCACAAGTAAAATAATTCCATATTAATATTACAAAAATTACTATTTTATAAAGGGAACTTCCTGTATAAAATGTGACTATGTTTTACTAACATTAAACTAAAATCTTTAACAAAATAATTATCAAAAATATAAACCTTAGTTAGAGGTTAATATTAACAAGATCACGTCATAAATTCCTTGAAAACTAGTTTCTTTCTACGAACACCAAATACTTTTCGTAACGCTAATATTTTTTATTATCTATTTAGTTTAATTACAGTCCGGAATGACATATTTTCATGATTTATATAATTCAAAGTAGGTTACATTATTTATTTTAAAATTTTAACACATCACAAAAATGACGTGATTGATTTATAATTCAAATTGCCGCTTTTTTATCTCCTCTACATATGCGACATATGGTCCATATCACATACTTCTATACATATACAAAGCATTTTGAAAGGGAATTGAAGCCAAAAAGTGGGGGTGTTGCACTTTGTGTATTATACGCACGTGCTATGATTAATTTTCCCATTGGTCGGTTTGTCGGTTAACGTTATTGTCATTTCCGAAGATAGGTTATGAATTTGAATAGAAAGACAGCTGAAAATGATTTGGCAAACAAAAAAAAGGAAAGGAAACGAGGCAGACCCATAAAAAACATGGGATCAACGACCAAGTAGTGGCAGAAGACTTAAAGAAAAGAGGAACAAACTGGCATGAAGCGATGAATCTAGCAAAAAATAAAAAAGAAGACAAAATTTGTTTATAAGTAAAAATGTATATCTTTACACCCTATATAGATACTTAAGGTTTTATTGATTGAGGATTTTTATTAAGGGTAATGTATTGATGAAATTGGCTAAAGCAAATTTTTACGTGTTCAATCAGTAGCTAGAAATTCCACATTTTGCTAATGCATGAGACTTCGTGTTTCATGGTGAACTCTTACTGTTATATATTAAAAGGAGACGAGTAGTTTCCCTTTATATATTTTTTGTAAATGTCACAAGAAATTATTTTTATAACCTGTGAAGTTACAAAGCCCGCTATACATGAAACCACATCTTCTACGTATGGCGATAGGTCAAACATGGTTTTTACGTGATCATGTTCAAATAAAGAAACGACACTTAATGTACCTACTTGTGTTTGGATCATAAACTGGATCAGCTATTTTATTTGAAAAATAATACCTAGGGACAATTTATATCTAAAACCGGCACTGCTTCAATGTGTTCTAAGATCTTGACTAGGTTTGCATTGTATATTTAATAAAATAAGACTTGATATTTAGCATATATTAGAAAATCAAATTGAATCTGGTACAGTGAATCACGAAACACTTAGGTTAATATGATTGATATGATTTATTTTTATTATTATTTATATGTGTTAGTTAAGGTAGATAACTCGTTATTATTTTTATGTTTATTTGTACATAATGTGTATTTTTATATGAATTTTTGTGAAGATGTATCGATTTCAAAAAATGTTTACAATTTTATATAAATAACACACTTGTACACTCTTTTGGATTCCCTTTTATTGTACCCATTTTATTTTACATTCACTATTTAACATTCTCATAAATTACAATTAACAAGTTGTATAATTAGATATACAAAATAATAATTGGTAATTTTGCTCTGTTAATAGTATATCAGTTATTAAATTTCATTTGAAATAATCCGCTAAATTTTTGGGCTTGCGCAAAATTGACAAAGTGCAACATGTACACTTTTTATCCCCTCTTTTTGGGAACAGGGTCATTCAATGTAAAAGATATGCAGTGCTTAGTATATGTATAGAAGTATGTGGTCCATATGGAACACTAGCGCCCTTTATTTTTGTAAGATTTTTGTTTACATGGAGTTCGGGCTCCTTATCTAGTCTCCCTGAAGCGAATCATGAATTCATGAATTAATTCATCAATAAATTGTCAATGTAAAACAGCTATTAGTTTATATTCCATTAATACAATGCCTGACATTGGTTTCGGCATAATGAGATTATAATTAAAAAAAACAAACTGAAATCGTAGGAAAGGAGAAAATAGTTTTTCCTTTAATTTTAATTATTGCTTTCAATTTTCATCATTATGGTTGGCAACAGTAAATCAGAGTATATGTACAGTACGTAGTTACAACTGTTATTACAGATTTTTTTATTTCACCAAAAAGTATATGTCAAAATGAAAAAAATAATTACCAGCAGAACTCTGTACGATGATTTATTTAAGTAGAATTTTTCTTTGAAAAAAAAAGTGTTTCAGGCCGAGAAAAATGAATATCTCAGAGACTTCTTGATTTTTTTATCTAAAAAAATTTGAGGTTATTTAAGACAGAAAAAGGTATACTTTCACCAAGTTTCGTCAAAATTAAGTTATTTTTGCGGAAATGAGAAATAAAAACGAAAAATCAGAAAAAACCTGTTTTTCGCATTTTTCTCGGAAATTTTGAGGTTATGTTAAAAAGTGACTTGTACAATAATTGTATATTTTTGCATGATCTACAACTTTTGTATTTGATACTTTTTTGTTTGATGTCAACTTTCGCCAGAAATCCCAATGATACAATTTTTCATAACTTTTCAACCCCCCGAATCAACCCTCCGCCGCCCCTGCTCACGCATTTATTTGTTTTAGGTTTATTACCTTTTACCATTTCCAATTATAAAAGTCTAGGTAACAATTTTTTTTTCTCCAAGTGTAATTTGC